GTGACCAGAGCGTCGTCGTCAAGTGTGCCGAAATCCAGAACGCCATCTCTGAGGGTAAGATTAGTTCCGAATCTCACTAGATCTGGCTTTTATTTACTTGAATTAGTATGTTTTATTTGTATGTATGCTTTTCGTGTATGGAGCGCATGTGAATATTCAGATGCTTGAGGGTTTGAGGTCTGCTCTGCTGCTGACCTCTGTAAAATTATTGAGGATTTTTCTTTTATTTTTAATTTTATTGTTTTAATTTCTGCATAACCGTAGAAAGTTTCATTTTTTAGTAGAGGTTTTTCTATTCATGTTCTTTTCTTTTGTGTGTAAGCTGAGGTTCCAGCTAACTGAGTGGAAGCGGAAACAGACCGCATTTTTCCTTTTCGGGTTACTTGTTAGATTTACTCACTGTATTCCACCTTAAAAATCTCATCTTTTCACTAATTCTATCTTTATACAAGAAAATAAATTTAAAATTACATGACGGGATGCCTGCTTTTTCGTTAAAATTCGAATACGATGCACGATTCTTCAAAGTGATTGTTTATTGCTCAACGTTTAAGTTCGGAGAGTTAGATATGCGATTTTGATTCACGTAGATGTAGAAAGATTTGGCCGGCTGAGGAGTTTCTACATTAGGTCCTTTCTGATATTGAAGGAACTAACAACTAAGTATATATTTTCTGTAATGTATTAAGATAGTTCTTTTCTTGAGTTTTCTGGCGGCGACTGTGCGGTTTAGGGTTTTATGCACGTAGGAGTTATGTAATGTGGTTGGAGTCTACTGATAAGTAGATGAAATTGCACCGCACCGACAAGTGGTGACAGATAATATTCAGATGGCTACTATTATTTAATTGTATTCTTTTTTGTTACCTATGTATGGAGGAAAATTTTTAAAATTGTTAAATTAAGAATGGTCCTTTTTCCGATGGAATAACTGGGAAGTTGATTATTTAATCAAATCTTGTTTCATTTATTTGTATAATTAATCATCCCATGGCAGGTGCTTGAGTTTATTATTTGTTGCTTCTCGCTTCATTTGTAATTTATGGTTTTCAATGCTTTAATGCTATGTTGAACATGCTCTGTCATGTATCAAACCAGGTTGTAGGTTCTCTATAGTCTTTATCACTTTAATTTTACCACCTTGTTCTGGCTGAGATTAAAAAATTTGTTCACGTAACAGGTGCAACATCCTTCTTGTTCACCGAGTACCAATATGTGGGGATTTTCATGGTCGCTTTTGCGGTCCTCATCTTCCTCTTCCTGGGCTCGGTCGAGGGTTTCAGCACAAAGAGCCAGTCGTGCACATATGACAAGGAGAAGCTGTGCAAGCCTGCCCTTGCAACTGCAGTCTTCAGCACCGCATCCTTCTTGCTTGGGGCCGTGACTTCCGTTATCTCTGGTTTTCTTGGGATGAAAATCGCAACCTACGCTAACGCCAGAACAACATTGGAAGCCAGGAAAGGCGTTGGTAAAGCTTTTATTACGGCATTCAGGTCGGGTGCAGTCATGGGTTTTCTCCTGGCAGCAAATGGCCTGCTGGTCCTCTACATTGCCATCAATTTGTTCAAGCTGTACTATGGGGATGACTGGGAAGGGCTTTTCGAGGCGATTACTGGTTACGGCCTTGGTGGGTCTTCAATGGCTTTGTTTGGGAGGGTTGGTGGTGGTATTTACACCAAGGCAGCTGATGTTGGTGCCGATCTTGTTGGGAAGGTCGAAAGGAACATTCCGGAAGATGACCCCAGGAATCCTGCTGTGAGTTAGCAGTGATATTAAAGTAAAATATTCCATTTTAGATGGGATTTTGTATTTATTTAGTGATTGGTGATGGCCGCGTTGTTTTGCAGGTGATTGCTGACAATGTCGGTGACAATGTTGGGGATATTGCAGGCATGGGGTCCGATCTTTTTGGTTCATATGCTGAGTCATCGTGTGCGGCTCTTGTTGTGGCCTCCATTTCGTCTTTTGGGTTGACACATGACTTCACGGCAATGTGCTATCCGTTGCTCATTAGTTCAATGGGAATCCTGGTTTGCTTGATCACCACTCTTTTTGCAACCGATTTTTCCGAGATCAAGGCTGTGAAGGAAATCGAGCCAGCACTGAAGAAACAACTTATTATCTCCACTGTTCTTATGACCGTGGGAATTGCGATTGTCACATGGACTTGCCTACCGTCATCATTTACGATCTTCAATTTCGGTACTCAGAAAGTTGTCAAGAACTGGTAATTATTAATTTGAACGCTAAAAATAGAGATAGATATTATCTCTGCTTATCTAAGTCATTAGCTGCCACAGCTCAAAATTTAATAGTATACTATGTTTACTTTCTGCTAAGAAAAGCATGTTTTAAATCTCGTCTTTGGCCCTAGTCACTAACTTGAACGCTGCATGACAGGCAACTTTTTCTCTGTGTTTGTGTTGGACTGTGGGCTGGACTCATCATAGGGTTTGTGACTGAATATTACACCAGCAATGCTTACAGGTATGCTCATGAAATTTTCGTTACATATATTGAGTTTCCACCTAAAGCCTTTCCTCATCCCCTCAAATTTAATTTTCCTGCTTCATGTGTGGACTTCCCTATGCAGCCCTGTGCAAGATGTTGCTGATTCGTGCAGAACTGGTGCAGCTACCAATGTTATATTCGGCCTTGCCTTGGGATACAAATCTGTCATCATTCCCATTTTTGCCATTGCAATTAGCATATTTGTGAGCTTCTCGTTTGCAGCCATGTATGGTATTGCCGTAGCTGCTCTCGGAATGCTGAGCACTATTGCCACCGGTTTGGCCATTGATGCTTATGGCCCAATCAGTGACAACGCTGGAGGTATTGCCGAGATGGCCGGTATGAGCCACAGGATTCGTGAGAGAACTGATGCCCTTGATGCTGCCGGCAACACCACTGCTGCAATTGGAAAGGTATTGTACCTTAATTTTCACTTGATAGTTTTTTTTTTTTTGGATATAGAATATTGGAGTAAACTTCTTAGAAGACTTGAAAATTTCTTGGAAATTTTGAATGGATATGTGAAAATTAGAGTTTCTTTCTAATCTGTAGCATTTGTTTTCAGGGCTTTGCCATCGGATCTGCCGCGCTTGTCTCGTTAGCCCTCTTCGGCGCCTTTGTCAGCCGTGCTGAAATCTCTACTGTCGATGTCTTGACCCCTAAGGTCTTTATAGGATTGATTGTCGGTGCAATGCTTCCGTACTGGTTCTCGGCGATGACCATGAAGAGTGTCGGCAGTGCCGCCTTGAAAATGGTGGAGGAAGTCCGCAGGCAGTTCAACACTATCCCGGGCCTGATGGAGGGCCACGCCAAACCCGATTATGCTACCTGCGTGAAGATCTCGACTGATGCTTCCATTAAAGAGATGATCCCGCCTGGTGCCCTTGTCATGCTTACTCCCCTAATTGTCGGAACGTTTTTCGGTGTCGAGACCCTGTCCGGTGTTCTGGCTGGCTCCCTTGTTTCTGGTGTGCAGGTATGCTCTAATTTCATCTGGAAAAGTTTTGTAGTTTTTCCCGGGGTCTCGTAGTTTGCATCGAGCTATTAGAATACATTCCTTTTTCTTTCAGATGAAGTGACACTTGTTTTATGTGGTTGATTACAGAATTTTTTTTATTCAAAATCCATTCCCTTGCCTTTTAGATTCTGATTAAGTCAATACAAGAATTTGACATTTGAAAATACTAAAAGTTACTTTACAGCAAAAGCTGGTCTTTCTTTTATTGTTATTGTTTCATAATTTGGGCTTGCCTCTCACTACTTGTATTCTTACAGATCGCAATTTCTGCATCTAACACTGGTGGTGCCTGGGACAACGCAAAGAAATATATTGAGGTAAACTCTCCACATCTCTCTCTCTCTCTCTCTCTCTCTCTCTCTCTCTCTCTCTCTCTCTCTCTTTCTCTCTCTCTGACTACATAATATATTTCCCTTATAATTCTTTTTGGAATACAGGCCGGTGCTTCGGAGCATGCAAGAACCCTCGGTCCGAAGGGATCTGAACCACACAAAGCAGCCGTGATTGGTGACACCATTGGGGACCCACTGAAGGACACTTCAGGACCTTCTCTCAACATCCTCATCAAGCTCATGGCAGTCGAGTCCCTCGTGTTTGCTCCTTTCTTTGCCACCCACGGTGGCCTTCTGTTTAAGATCTTTTGAGGGGAGTCAAAAATGAAGAATGAATAAATTGATGTTTTTTGGGCTAAGTGGAAGAGGGTATCTGCTTCCTTGCTACTTTGTTTTTATCCTCTCTCTCTCTCTCAAAGTTGTTTTTGAGTTGAGATCGGTAGCTCGTGAGAATCTATGTATTTTCTATGAGCTGATAATGATGATAATGGTGCTGGTGTGGGTGAAGGTGAGAGAAGAGAATCTACAATCCTCGTTGTTGGAGGTGTCTAGGATCAAAATGTGTTCCTTTCTCTTTTTTGTTTCAATGCTGATTTTCAGATTAACTGTTGCAGTGGAATCGATTTTGCTTGAAACATCGAACCGCTTCTGTTTCGGATTTTCCATGGAACTTGAGTTGTTTGGATACTATTTTTCTGTGATGGTATAGGGTTCTTGCCTTGAAACAGAAGCTTCAGCTGACACTTGCATTTAGGCCTTACATTTTCAAGGTGTTTGTCTTTCTTTTTTTTTTTTTTTTTTTTTTCTAGATAAATAATATGGATATTTCATTAAGGTGTGATTGATGGCACAAGAAAAAGTAGTATAAAATGGACCTTCATTAAAACAACAGATCTACAAGGAGATGATCATAGTTTTCAAACAAAAGATCCATGCTATAAAGCTGAAATAAACCATGCTTCAGTGCAACTAACACCACAATTAAACAAAGGAAACAGAACAAAGCTGCTTATTACAAACCATGCTTCAGTGCAACTAACACCACCATTACACAAAGGAAACTGAACGAAGCTGCTTATTCCAAGTCCCTACAAACAGCAGCAGCAGCAAAATAAGTACAATAGAGTCAACATAACATCTCACAAAGACACTGTATGAAGTGCCCTCATCCCCTTCTGATAATATCCCCAGTGAACATCCGCGTAATCTTTCACCCTCCCGAACACCCTCCGACCTTCTTCACTGATCAATCCCTCTTCCGGCCCAATCTCTCTCCCGACTTCCGGCGAGTAAAAAACTGCCACCGACATCCTATCCTTTTCCGAGTCGCTCACCACTCTGTGCACCGGACTCTTGAAAACCCCATTGCTCATAATCTTCGAGTTTTAGAAAAATAACGATGAAGAAATTGATTTTTTTAAAAAAAATTCATCCAAACTATTTGCAAAAGGACTACATACTATACCTCCATTTGGTCACCCATGAGTACTATAAGGGCATTATCGGGATTTTGAGCGACCGTGCACCATTCTCCATCGTTGAGGATTTGGAGGCCCGGTTCATCCTGAACTATTACGGTGTAACCCGACCCGTCTGCATGGGCTTTGAGGCCTAGCACGAGGTCGGGCCTCGTGCAGGGTGAGTAGTAGTTGAACCTCGCCTGATACTGCGCTCGATCACCAAACTGTTTAAGGAAACAGCTCTCATCGAGATTAAGTGATCTCGCCATGGATTTGGAGATAGTATCTGTCACCCTTTTCATTTCTTCTGAGTATTCTTCCAGAGTTTCTCTACAAGGAGAGAACAACCAGTTAGATCACAAAACCAAATTAAGTAAACTTTTTCAAGTTCTTTTGGCTTTTACTTGAAAGATGCTGGATTTTGAGGCCAGAATCTGTAGTTTCGTTGGTCTTCAGGGACTAACACGATAAAAATACGGTCCGACCAGTCGAGCGACTGTCCTTGTTCCGGAACTGGATCGGCCCCGTAGCCTTCAAACTCGGTCACTGTCTTTGCGTATTTGTTCTTCTCATGCATTGGCTGCTGAAAAAACTCCCTCCCGACTCGTCGTAGCCTGTCCAAGAAAGCACTTGGGATCCCATGACCTATGGCCTAAAGCATTCAAAATGCTACTTACTTACTAAGCTCGTTTAGTTTCGATTCAAGTTAAAAGTTTTTTTCCTAGTTTAACTGAACATGATGATATAATGAAGATTTTTGAACCTGAAAACATCCCCATGTAGAGAGTGCAGACTTGAGTTTCTCAAGTTCTCGTTCGCTTTCTTCGGTGGACCATTTTCCGGGCTCAAAGCAACCGATATCGACTGTAGGAATTGGGTGATCGTCTTTCTCGCCTTCATTAATGCCTTCGTGTTCGTCTCTGCATAAATACGGTCCCAAAGGCTGCTCGCCTGTTAGGACCATTTCTTGAACTCTCTTCGACAGCAATATCTCGGCTGGCGGAACAGAAACTGAAGCCATGTTTGTGTTTAGCACTTTTTTCTTCGTGAGAAATTTGAAGTTGAAGGGTTGAGGATGCAGTTTTTACTTGGCTCTGTTTTGAGCATAGCATAAAAGAGTGGTTTAAAATATTGTGATTTTTTTCTTGAAGTTATCACAATGATGATGGTGAGGATAGGAATGTGACTTCACACAGATTTTGGATTGTTTTGCCTCTCTTAAAGTCTATCAAAATTTCCATCGACTTGAGAATTCTATGATGTCTATCGCAGAATTCTGTCTTGATGTGATTTTGGATTGTTGTACCTTACGTAATTTTAACGAGCTGTGTGGAGCATAGATCAGAATATGGTTTAATAATACTATTAAAATCATAAAACAATTATCTAAATTTTTTTTTTTTTTAATTTTGTATAACTTAATAACATTCATATTAACTGTCCATACTTCAGAAAATATGATAATAAATTGTGATATTCATATTGCATAAATCAATACCAATACCAGTTCACAACTATCCTCTCACAAAACTATAAAACTCAAAACAGTACATAGAAGTCACATCTCCCCACGATACCCTCCCGACCCGAAATAATCCCGCCTCGAGTTCGCGATCTGCACGCTCTTCTGGTGCTCCAGCTTCGGACAATCCCCGATCCTATGCCCCAACCCACCACAGTAAGCGCATCCCTTGACCCCACTGGCGCTTGCAATCGCCTCAGCCTCCTCCGCCGGGTCGTTAAGCTCCGCCAGCACGGGTGGAATCCTCTGCTTCGCCTCCCGCAGCAAGTGCTTCAGATCCAGCAAAGTCGTTTCACTCTGATTCTTATTTATAAAAGTAGTAGCTATCCCCGTCTTCCCACACCTACCCGTCCTCCCAATCCTATGCACGTAATTCTCAATCTCACCAGGCATATCGTAATTAATCACGTGCTGTATGTCTGGAAAATCGAGCCCCTTTGAGGCAACATCAGTAGCCACCAGAACATCCTTCTTGCCCGACTTAAACGATGCGATTGCGTACTCTCTCTCTTCCTGGTCCTTCCCGCCGTGTATGGCAACGGCCTCGACGCCCTTCAACAGGAGGTATTCATGGATATCATCCACGTCAGCTTTGTTCTCGCAGAAGACGAGGACAGGTGGTGGGGTTTTCTGGAGGCACTCGAGGAGGTACACGATTTTCGCTTCTTGCTTGACGTACTCGACTTCCTGGATCACGTCCAGGTTGGCAGCACCGGCCCGGCCCACATTGACGGTGACGGGCTTCACGAGGGCACTGCGGGCAAAGTTTTGGATCTTGGTGGGCATGGTGGCGGAGAAGAGGAGGGTCTGCCGTTGGGCCTTGAAGTGGTCGAACACCTCGCGGATGTCGTCTTCGAACCCCAGGTCGACCAATCGGTCAGCTTCGTCTAATGTGAGGTATCTGTTAGGTTAGGGGGAGAACAGCAAATTTTCGTGAATATTTGAAATAAAAAGGGATAGGGAAAGGAAACAAGAAAAGGTTTCAATTTGCTCCATTATTCAACTTGACCGGTGGTTCACCATCTATGATATGCATGTACTGAAAAGCTTTTCTTATGCATCTTATTCCATGCTTTGATTGGAAGAACACTAGTATTATAAACCTTTCAGATTAAAGACTACTTGTACAAATCTGCCAACTCAAGTTTCAAAAGCTATGTCAAAGAAGCTAACTGGAAAGTACTGAAAATCAAAATTGCAAATATGAATAGAACGAAAAAAAATAAAGCGACCAATAAATTGGATCCTAAAGGAAAGCAGTACAGGCAAGCAACATGTATCAAGTTTTATAAGCAAACAGAGATGGAACAAAAAAGCAGTAAAAAATATGACGTATAATTTAATCCTTACCGGCAGTTATCAAGATTCATCTTCTTCTTCGCCAGCATATCCTTGAGCCTCCCGGGCGTAGCAACTACAATATGAACCCCTTTCTTCACAACATCGAGCTGCGACTTCATATCAACCCCTCCAATGCACAGCAGTGGCCTCAGCTCCGGGTAACCCGCCTCCTTCATTGGCTCAAGAAACTGCTCAACAACCTCATAAGTCTGCCTGGCCAGCTCCCTGGACGGGCAAACTATCAGCCCAAATGGGCCCTCCCCAGGAGCAATAGGCATCATAACCTCCTCCTGCAATGCAATCATAATCAAAGGCAACACAAACACCAAAGTCTTGCCCGAGCCTGTAAATGCGATCCCAATCATGTCACGACCCGACAAAATGACGGGCATGCCCTGCACCTGGATGGGGGTCGGCTGCACAATCCCCTTCGATTTTAATTTTTTCAAAATGGGTTCGGGAAACCTCATGTCCTTGAAATTCTTGATTGGTGGGGGAACATCATCCCCGTCCACAATTATGTGCCACTGCTTTCGAATGGTGTCACAAGATTTTTTAGGCATTTTCCGGATTTGCAAAGGCGGCTTCCAGCCCGTGACCAGAGGCTCGGTGTATGTGATGCCCTTAGCCAGCTCCCGGACGGACATCAGGGTTTTCCTATCGGATAAGTGTTCGATCATTTCCTTTTCCTGGAGGATTATCTGCTCCGTTTGGGTGATTTCTGGCTGATCTTTCTTGAGCTGGGAGGCTTTGACCAGCAGGCTCGGCTTGGCCTCAGCTTGTTTCTGTTTCTCGATCTCTCGATCTCCTCATCAATTGTGGACAATTTGCCCTTGCGCATGAGGATTTTCTGGGCTTCGAGGGCACGCCGTTTGGCCACAGGGACGTACTCGACGTAATCATCGTCTTCTTCCATCATTTCCTGTAAATTCGAGCCCTAATTACAGTTCAGGAGACTGAGCAAACTACAAAAATGCATATAACAAGGCAAGTTTGATTTTTTTATTTTCTAATCTGATTCCAGAATAAGCTGCAGAAAAACAATGGCACAATCTAAGCCAGCCTCAGAATATACATCAATCGGTAAGTACAATTTCAAGTCAAAAATTAGTGCTTATTACAACACAATTAGGAGTTACATGCACAAATTCGGGCTAGATACAAGAGAAAATAAACAGCTCGATATAAGGGGACACAAATCAACGGACAAAGAAACGAAACAAAACAATATGAAAAAAAAAAAAAAAACAAAAAAGTATATACCATGTTTAATGGATCTTATAGAAGGGTAAGAGCTAGTTTATCCACGAAGAAGGTTGAAGGCTTAAGGATCGGCGGCTCCGCGCGGGGATGGCGGTGCGAGTTATCGCCAGTAAATCTTCTATAATTTCAAATGCTGTAAAAAATATTTTCTGGACCGGGAATTGCAGAACTAACATTACCGGTTGAGTAGTTGGTTTTTATGAACACAGAAGAGAACCTTCCGGAGATTAAAGTAAAAGAAGAGATCGTGATGATCGGAGAATGTGAAAAGGAAGGGTTTTTGAGATCGACGTCCGAATTTTGCGAAGAAAACCCTAAAATGAAGAAGATTGGGAAATCGGGTCAAAAAGAAAGAGATTATCAGTGTACAAATAATTAAGTAATTATATTTACTTGTTCACTAAAATCGATTTCCACTTTTTATGTATCACATTAACGGGAGATTATACGGTCTCGTTACGGAATCATTCCATTGAGTTTGTAATCGGTAGATCAACTATTAACGACGGTTAGAAATCTCAACATAATGGTTTCTCGTTATGGAACCATTTCATTGAGTTTGTAATCAGTAGATCAACTATCCACGACAGTTACATGATGATCTAACGATTACAAATCCTAACAGAATGATTCCGTAGCATTTACCTACATCAACTCTCCTTTCTCTTTCTCTCTCATCCCTTCTTATTCCAAAGAGTTGTGTCGAGAGCTGAATTAGTGAAGGAAAACACGATAATATAAAAAAAAATTCCAGACAACTCACACAACTTTCGTCTCTAAGCGTGTCGAATTCTCGTGTGCCTTGTGCCGGGCCTTGAGCACCTGAAGACGCTGAAAAGTCTCAAGTCACCGACACTGGAATCGTGCAAGGTGACTGCTAACGACATAAAGAAGCTTCAGTCATATGGTTATAGGCCCGGGTAGGGCCCGAGCCCATTAAAATATCTACAGTATTTGGTCGGGCCTGGGAGCTTGAATCTACTGTACATATGGTTGATATAAAAGCTTATGTTGTATATATGTATATTTCCAAACCAGTTAGAAATTGCAACTTCGGGCCTCGGGCCTCCAGTTAAATCAACATAACAAAACCTTCACAAAAAATATGGAGATCAAAAGAATGTGTGTTTTGTGCTACGCCACAAATGTAATAAATAATGTACAAGTATTTCCAACATGGCCAGCTACAAAAGTTTCTCCAAACAAATCCACCGACTCTAACGTCAATTCATCAGCAAATCCTCAAGCCACATAACCCGAAAATTACCATAATACCCACAAAACCCGACCCGGCCTGTCTGCTCACCTCTGTGCCTGTTCCGAGACGGGCCCACCTCCGCCTAGAGGTGTCGTGGGCACACTGCTCGATGACCCATTCTCGATAGGCGGTGGCACCCCCCACTTTCCTTCGGTTTCAAGGGGCTCAAACACATGGACCGAACCATCCGAGAGGCCTAACGCAAATTGGTTCGGTTCTTGAGGATGTGCAGCAATCACGAGCGGGTGCACATTTGAACTGCTCGAGAGAGAATTAATAAAATTATCTATCACTCAGAAGGAAATTGAATAAGAAAAAAAAAAGAAACTAATGCACGAAAAATTTAAGATTTATACAAACCTGATGGTAGGATTAAGATACGCAGAAGGAGTAATGCGGCATCTCAACCGAAGGTGTGAAGCCGTGAATACGCAAACGGTCGCATCCAGAAAACTGGCGTACACAAGCTGGCTATCACACGAGAAAGTCGCGTGCGATATAGGGGCAGAATTTTCTCGCTGGGCCCACTGGAATGTGTTAAAAAGAAAAGATTGTCTTAAACAAGTCTCTCGATAAAAAAATATCAATAACTAAGTAAATAAAAAATTACCTGCTTGACACATTCTAGCTTCGTGGTCTCGTATATGGCGAGTTGTGTCTCGTGCACGACCAGGAAGTGAATTTGGTCCTGATGAAACTGCACGCGTGTTTCGGATTGTACTCCCGGGGACCTTCCGGAAGGCAGCTGCAAGAATCTCGATCTCTGTTTTTCCCATCCATCGGAACTCCACACACAAAGCTGGCCGGGAGAAAGTAAACGAAAATCAGGAAATTATAACTTACAGAGTAATTGCCTTTTATTCTCTCTCTCACTCACTCTGGAATTAAATTATTAACCTGAGCATCAGCTCCTGATGAAACAAGCACATTCAATACATGTGAGAAAGCAAGGCCTGTAATTCTCTTCGAGTGTCCTTTAAGCTTGCTTTTGACCTGAAATAATTTGAAAAAAAAAAAAAAAAAAA